CCTATGTTATATTCCGAATTCTCCGTGAGTTTTTTCAGAATTTCGGTTAGAAGCTGGCATAAACCACTAGCTGGAGAATTTACCGATGCACAGATTGGTCTAAGTGGGAAGTTATCCTTATGGATTTTAGGAAGTCCATATATTCTGGGCGCTGTCGCTGCACCTAAAAAGTTCATCTACCAGGTCCCCATTCTTCTTTAGTAATGATGATGTCGGATCTTTATTCATTCTTCTATAAGTCATCATATCGCCAAGTATATTATTCATTCCCGTTTCATAGTCTTCCTTATTCATCATAACCGTCACATTTCCCTTATCTGCATTCATAATATTAGTCATAAATGTGTTTATAGTATATATGAAACAACCTGCGAAATGTTTTCTGGAACGGTCCATAAGGACCACTTAATAAAGATATTTTAAAACAAGTAAGAAATTATAGTCGGGCGAGGCCGACTATATAATACCCTACACCTGTTACAAAAATAAAATGTGATTTAGGTTTCATAATAGAGCATTTAGTTGAATTGTACCTTGCCTCAAATATACTTAAGCCGTTTATTGTTGAATAAAATTGTGGACATTTAAGTCAAATTTTGAAGGGGTTTTTGTATAGGGGCTATGGTCAAATGAGACCCTATAATTATATAATTCATGAGAGTCATCGAGGCTAGCATAGAACTTGGTTTTGCAGCTTTTTGTCGAGATACGAGTATATTGAACATAAGTATGAACTTAAAAGCCCTATTCGTCGGGTTCAGTTGTAAGGGGGCTAGGTGAAATAATGAACCAATGTTAATCATTTTAAATAGGCTTCGTCTAAGGTACCATAGAAGATCATGTGTCAAATTTCATTGAATTATCTTCCAAATTGAGACCTGAAGTTAGATTACAAGCTCTACAAGCCCTATTCATTATAAATTATAAAATGCATGAGAGTCATCGAGGCTAGCATAGAACTTGGTTTTGCAGCTCTTTGTCGAGATACGAGTATATTGAACATAATTATGAACTTAAAAGCCCTATTCGTCGGGTTCAGTTGTAAGGGGGCTAGGTGAAATAATGAACCAATGTTAATCATTTTCAATTCGTCTCCGGTACCATAGAAGATGATGTGCCAAATTCATGATTGAAATTGAATTATCTTCAAAATTGAGACCTGAAGTTTGATTACAAGCTCTACAAGCCCTATTCAGGGGTTCAGTTGTATGGGGGCTAGATGAAATAATGGATCGATCTTAACTATTTTCAATAGCCTTCGTCCAACAATAGAAGATCATGTACTAAATTTCATTGAATTATCTTCAAAATTGCGACCTATAGTTTGGTTACAAAGTTTACATGGACGGACGGATGGACATAGCCAAATCGACTCAGAAAATGATTCTAAGCCGATTGGTATACTTTAAAGTGGTGTAGTGTATAAATCCTAATATATATTATAAATCTCTTTGTAAGTCTGTTCGTTTGTTTGTTTGTTCGTCAATCACGCCTAAACGGCTAGACCGATTTTCATGAAATTTGGACCGATCCAAAATACATTTTGCAGAGTGATATATGTATACAAGTTAAGGCAATCAATATAATATTGCTAACTTTTTACACTTATATGTTTTCTTAATTTACTCTTCTTAGTTTGATCTTGCTTTGTTACTATTATCATACTTTTATTTATGTTATCATTTGTAATAATTGTAGAGAGAGCTAACGGTAGAAGCAATATTAGTCTCTCGAAATATTGTTATTATTATCATTAACATTTATTTATTGTTTCATCTATTGTTATAATTCTGATGAGAACTAATGAAGAGAGCAATAGGAGACTCTTGAATTATTATTATAAGTTAAATTGGAAATTAAAGTGAATTAAATAAAATTATATAAATTGTAAAAACTAAAAAATGTATTTTAATTTAAACAAAAAAATGGGAAATGTTAATTGGCGCCCAACGTGGGGCCAAGGTGCAAACCATAAATGAAATTAAATATTTGATAAATGAATAAACTTTTAATTATTGATTATTGTGACTTTATAAAACAAATAATATAAAAACCCCTATAAGGCCCTTAAAAAATAAAAGTTAACAAGGAAAACCCAAATGGAAATAAAGTTTAAATTAAAAATTATTATAATTTAAAGAAAAATCCAATTTAAGTAATAGTACTTTAATCTAAATACATACGAATTTAAAGCATCTAATAAATTAAACACGTGCGCAACCAGTGAAGTGTAAGACACATGACGTTTACAAGTAAATTATAGGAGACCTGCAGTATAACCGCATTAAACTGACATGTGATTAACAAATAAAAGTCATCAATATTAAAAAGTGGTTAATGTCGTAAAATTTAAAGCAAACAAAAAAAAAAAAACGGTGATATAATTTGGAACTAAAAAAGCTGTTTGGAAGTGTTATTTTATCCAATTCTTGTTTCAACAAACTTCTTTTCTGAGCTAAAACCAACAACAAAAATTGTTAAATTTAATCTGCGTGAATTTTGTTATTAGCTTCCTCAATTATAATTAAGATTATTACTTAAGTACATACTTTTTGTTTGTTAAAATAACTATTAGAACTAATTTAAAATGTGTCCAAGTAAAATTTATTAATAAAAAAATTTGTAAAATTAAAATTTTAAAAAAATTATATTTTAAATAAATAGAAAATAATTTTTTTTTACCAAAAATATTTTGTAAGAACAAATTATTATTGAAATTATTATTATTAAAATATAAAATTATTATAGAAATTCTACATAGAAATTAAATTATTGTATTATAAAAAAATTATAAAAATAAAATTTGTTACTGAGAATTTCATATAAAAATAAATCATATAAGTAATATATTTTACTGAGAATTCTTTACAAAATTCATATTTTTACCGAAAATTCATTATAGAGATAAAACTGATTCTAAAAAATATTATTATTTAAAATTCTGTATAAGAATAACATTTTTACGAAGGTAAATAATTAATAAGGAATAATTGTGAAGATAAATGAAATTTATAAAAACTTAATGTAATTAGTGTAAATGAGTGTAGACGACATTATAAACGGAATACAAAATTTTAGTTTTTCCACAAGAGAACCTACAAAAGAGACAATGGATTTAGATGCTGTACAGACTATGTTAAATACTGCTCTTAAGCAAGTAACTGAACAGGTGAGACAAAATTTTGAAGGTAAAATCGATGACTTGACGCAAAGATTAGCTATTTTAGAAACTCCTATTCGCGTAGAAGAGTATAAGCCTATAGAAATTGAATCTGGTAGAGAGTGTTATGAATCGCTTGACATTGCTAAATCTATTCCCGAATTTAATGGGGATGCAGTTAAATATGTATCTTGGCGGCAAGCCGCGATTACGGCACATAAGTTTTATGAACAATTTGAGGGAAGCTCAAAGTATTATCAGGCCGTAGCCATTATTCGAAACAAAGTCGTAGGTGTAGTTGATACTGTACTTAGTTCTTATAACACCGTACTTAATTTTAGGGCAATTATATCACGGTTGGACTTTTCCTATGGGGATAAACGTTCAATATATACTCTGGAACAAGAGCTTTCAACATTGAGGCAGGATTCGAAAAGTATAGTTGATTTTTACGACGAAGTGGAGAGGAAATTAACACTTATTATCAATAAGGTCATTATGATGAATGAGGGGAATTCATCCTTAGTAGAAGCTTTGAATCGAAAATATAGAGATGATGCCCTGCGTGTTTTTATTCCGGGTTTACGTAGGCCAATGTCGGATGTGTTATTTTCATGCAAACCCACTGATATGCCTTCTCTTGCTTTCTCAAGAGTTGGAAACTAACCAATAAAGATCTAATTTTGCATCTACTCTTCACATTACGAGGCAATCCATCAAGCTCCTTTTCAGCAACACCTTTCCCAACAATTTCTTCAAACACCAAATCACCAGTACAGACAAGGTCAACCACATTTTTAACTGGACATCAGCCTAACATAAGAAGCACATTCGAGTCCCCACAGTATTTCATGAACTCAAACCAAAACACAAATAGGGCTACTCACCCTTCTCAAATAATGGAAATTGCTATTCTAAACGACCTGCCGATTCTTTTAGACAGAATACTGCCAAAGTACAAAGGGTGAATTATTTATGCCAAAACCTTCCCTATCATGTTTATGTTTGTAATGATTCATTTCAACATGAGTTTAACAATGATCCGGTAGAAACAGAACAGGCAGATGATTGTCATAATGGAAATTATGATTACAGTGTAGAAGATCATATTATTTTTTTAGAGGCGGTTCCTTCCTTCCGTATTTAGAAAGGTCATTTGCCGGAAGGACGTTAAAGTTATTAATTGATACGGGAACATCGAAGAATTACACACAGAGAAAACAGTACCTAATAAATACATAGTAAAATAGAACAACATTTATAAGATTTCTCTATGGTTTTTTTTCAAGAAGAAATTCTTATTATTTTTACAAGGAAAACCTTTTTTAAAAAATCAAGAAGAAAACTTACGATTTTTACTAGGCTTTCTTATTGTTTTTTTGAAAAATGTTTTCTTCTTGATTTTACTAGGCTTTCTTATTGTTTTTTTCAAAAATGTTTTCTTCTTGATTTTACTAGGCTTTCTTGTGGTTTTTTTCAAAAAGATTTTCTTCTTGATTTTACTAGGCTTTCTTATTGTTTTTTTCAAAAAGATTTCTTCTTGATTTTACTAGGCTTTCTTATTGTTTTTTTTTTTTTCAAAAAGATTTTCTTCTTGATCTTGTTTGATATTATAATTGAATTTTTATTCATATATTTACTTATTCATATGTTTACTTAGAAATAAAAATTAAGTATTATTAACAGTATATTTTAAAAATATAATAAAATATATTTACTTAGAAAGTAATTTAATATAAAAATAAAAATTTAATATTATTACCAGTATTTAAATTTAAATGTTTTATAAGATCATTTGAAGTTGAATAACTTTTTGTACAAATAAAGCAAACAAGTGAAGTCATTTTTGAAAAAACGAATGTAATATTACTGTAATTTGCTTAATAAATTTGCAACAGAAGAAAAATCCTCAGACTTCAAATCAAAAAAATACTGCTCTAAAAATGACCATACTTGCTTGCTTTTCGGGGAATATTCAGTATTAAAAACGTAAGATAACTTTATAATAATGTCTATACATTTCATGTAAGAAGGACACTTCCACTTTAGGCCATCACAAAATACGAAAAAATCAGAAATTTTGGAAAAATCTGGTCCAACAACCATTACTCTTGGCTGAAGTCTTTCTTTTCTTTCTGCATACATTTCAACAATTTGCAGGATTCTTGGTTCAATATCATTAAGAGTTGGTACTAAAGTGACGAAGTCTGTTTGAGCATCGGCTATCGAAGGCTTATGTTCTTTATTAAGACGTTGTGGCTGTAACAAAGCGTGAAGCAGTATTGTACATATACAATACTTACAATCTGAATATAATTATAAAAATTAGTAAATGCGAAATTTTACATATGTCAATATTTGAAAGAATATTTTACCTTTATTAATATTTTCATTCCGTAGATATTGTAGGTAAAATTCTCTTGATGCACGGTCTTTAATTTCATTGTCAAAGACTTTAACCAACTTTTTATAAAAAGTTTCCAACTTTAGGAATAACTTATTTACTTTGTCTGGGTACAAAAAATCAAAATCTATATCGACCTTTTCAAAACAAAGTAGATATTAAAAGTTAAGTTAAATCAGAACAAATAAATTTCTCATCCATTCTAATTTTCCTTGTTTCCCTCCAGAATGAAAGTACCTGATCCCTTGGACTGCAATTGTGCTGCAGCCAGCACTTTTGCTCGAAATATTTATCTTTGAGGGAGAAAGATAGATGTTTAAAGATTTACATACATATCTATATTACTTTAAGAAATTTTATATATCCATACCGCTATCAAAATCTTTAAAAGTTTCCTCCGCTGTACTGCCATTATAGTCATCGAATTTACCTTTTTCAACATTAGTCCAACGAGAAAATAATTTTCCTGTTGGATTTTTCTTCCCGTCTTTCCGTTTCAAAAAGTATGTTTCCTAGAATAGCCAAAACTGTTAATAAAAATATATGTACATTAAATAAAATTTGGTTTAGATTTCTTACCGGTTTTTCTTTAGGAAATACATCACAGATAGCATAAGACCATTGCTGCATTTCTGCGTATGTTAATTTGGATCTTGTGCCAATATATTTCTCAATAATACAGTGCACTAAAGTCTTCTGATTTTTTGAGTCAAGACAATTATTTTTTTCATTAAAAGTTAGTACTAGCTGTCCTTTCACGGTATTTCTAAGGAGGTTTGTAAGGCTAGTACCACATATAGAATTGTCTTCTGACGTTTGTGTACTGAGTGGGCAGTCAGAATATCCTGAGTTACTGAGTTTCTCTGAAATTTTTTCCAACCAATCCAATATCCGACTATTTGCCGATAAAGTTTATTTTTCACATATGAACGGTAGGTTCTGAAAAGATGCCTAAATTAAAATATTTTTTTTTATGAACATTATTTTGCACGAACAATATTTCTTCTCCATTCCCTTAGGCCTGCTTTAAATTTAATCAACTCCCCAGTATATTGTTTGTCCAGTTTCTTGAATAAATTTTCAACGTCTTTAATTTCCATTTTTTTAATATGGTTGTTGATGTAATTCCAAAATTTAAAAGAATGTCACACGTTTCATCACATAGTTCCCAGGATTTATAAATTGGAAAAATGTCTATATTTTCCGTTAAGCTTTTGTGATCTCCCATTATTCAAAATATTATTGTTACATTCAAATGTAACACTTTTCAATAAATAAACAAAAATAATTTTTAATTATTTAAACCACATCCAATGTCAATAATTCAATCTTTTATTTAAATTTAATTACATTTTTTAGAAAAATTGTTTTATTATCTCTTTCCACTTCTTTACTTGTCACTTGTCAACTTTCAACTAAAAGTTGTTCGCCGCAACACTTGTACAAACACGTAAACAATTATAACGGTACAAAAACCAAAAATTCATAAAAAAAGTCTTTGTGTTGATTTGTATGCATTCATGAAATAACAAGCCAGCTAGTATAATCAAGAAGATATTCTTATTAACAAATTCAATAAGATAATTTGCACATGATCAAATAGAAACCTAATAAAATCAGTAAGAATACCTAATAAAAAACAGCTTATTAAGTAGCCTAATGAAATCTATAAGAAGTACCTATTGGAAAAAAATTATTAGGTAGACTAATGAAATTAATAAGAAATTCTTTTTTCATGCAATTCATAAGAAAACCTAATAGAATCAAAAAGTTGTTCTCTATGGATTGTGTTTTTGCTGCCAAAAATAACGGAATTTGAGTAAAAACATTGTAAATAACAAGCTTTTCTTCTTAATTTTATGTGTATTACTTATTGAAAAAATTAAAAAGATTTATACCATGAAAATAATAAGGAATCTCTTTAAAAAAATCTTCGTTTCTTTCTGCCGGAATTCTACTAGGCAGTTTTCGCTCTGTGCATTAAAATTTTTTCTTTTTTTAGATCAGTTAAACAGCTTAAAAAATCATTTATTGTAAAATCTATTCATGGCAATTCGATGGTAACGTTAAAATATTTAGTTAACATATTAGGGAAAAAAACATGTTTTTTGTGTTACGAAATTTACAGACATTTGATGGTATCATAGGATTTGACTTTCTAAATAATATCAAAGCACTAATCGACTGTCAAGAAGGTGTATTGAAACATTGTGGGGGAAGGGAAAGTCTTACATATTTACTGTATTTCTTGCGATATTTCTACTAATATATGGAACCGATTTTCGGAAATTTTGGAAAATAATAAACACGTTTTAGCCGATCCCATTTCGCCGATCCTATTGAATAAGAACACTGGATGAAGATCCAGTTTATTCAAAAGCTTATCCGTATCCACTAGCGTTCAATGAATTTGTAAATAGGGAAATTTCGGAATTGCTGGATAATGGAATAATTAGACCCTCCCGATCTCCATACAATAACCCAACATGGATCGTGGATAAAAAAGGGTTCGACGAATACGGAAAACCAAAAAAGCGCCTTGTAATCGTCTTTAGGATGCTAAACTCGAAAACTACAAGTGATCGCTATCCCATTCCGGACACAAAGACAATTTTGGCAAATCTAGGTAAATCAACATTTTATTCTACTTTGGATTTGAAATCGGGTTTCCACCAAATAAATTTGGCGGAGAAGGATAGAGAAAAGACCGCATTCAGTGTAAATAACGGGAAGTTTGAGTTCTGCCGGTTGCTGTTTGGTCTTAAGAACGCACCCAGCATATTTCAACGTGCCATTGACGATATTCTGCGGGAGGAAATTTGTAAAACGTGCCATGTTTATGTGGATGACGTTATTATTTTTTCTCCGTCTGCTGAAAAACATATTATTGACATCGATCGAATCTTGAAAAAACTATTTTAGGCAAATATGAGGGTATCTAGCGAAAAATCTAAATTTTTCAAAAAATCCGTGGAGTTTTTGGGATTTTTAATATCAGAAAATGGTATTAAAACTTGACCAGAGAAGATTAAATACATTGTTAAATACGAAATTCCAACATGTTTGCGAAGTTTAAGATCCTTTTTAGGTTTAGCCGTTTACTATCGCCGATTCGTAGAAGATTACGCGCATATAACAAAGCCTCTTACAAAGTATTTACGCGGCGAGAATGGACATATTTCTGCAAGACAATCGAAAAATGTGACCATCGTTCTGGACGGAGAAGCATTAAATGCGTTCCAAAAGATAAAAAGAATATTGGCCTCGGAAGATGTGTTACTACTTCACCCTAATTTTGAAGACCCTTTTGAATTAACTACGGATGCCTCATCAAGCGCAATCGGTGCCGTACTCTCACAAAATGACAAGCCAATCACGATGATTTCGCGTACATTATCTGCCACAGAGCAAAACTACGCAACAAACGAGCGCGCATTGTTGGCAATTGGTTGGTCATTGCAAAAACTTAGAAATTACCTTTATTGAGCGAAAAACATTAATATTTTCACCGATCACGAACCCTTGTCCTTTTCTTTATCAGAAAATAATCCAAATACGAAAATAAGAAGATGGAGATCTTTCATAGAAGAATTCTCCCCGAAATTTTTTTATAAACCTGGCAAGGAAAATTTCGTTGGCAGTATATTAATCATTTAGAACGTGACTTAGCAAGTGTGAACGGCACAATTGGTTCTGACACAGAAACTGCATCAGAGGGCAGGAACACAGAAAAAAATATGCACAATTTTTTTCTTAACAATCGGTTGCTTAAATTTAATTTCGATTTTTATAAATATTTTTATTTGGGTTTATAACGAATTGGTTTGATGTTCACACAGAAGGAAAATATTTTCTAACAAACACTTTATTGAAACAAATTTAACTTTCAGTAAATATTTTTACTGATTCAATAAATGTTTTTGTTTGAGTTTTATTTTTATGTCAGCATATGGAATACAACAATAAAACCAGTTTTGGAATGTACTAAAACGAATTGATATAATTCTTATTTGGTTTATAACATTTAATGTATAAGTGTTTCAGTTTTCACAGTACAAAATAATAGTTTCTAGAATTAGAAACGTTTTCTTAAAAATGTTGTAAGTATATATGTAATTTTTTTACTACTTTTAGTTTTAAATATTTTTTGTAAAATTTTTGTTAAAATTTAGTATATATTTTTTAACAAAATTTTTATAGATTCAATAAAAATTTTCTTATTATTATTGCCAAAATACAATAAATAATTTAACTGTTTCAGATAACATATTTGCTTGAATTTCAGTACAAATACTAATAACTTGTGTTATTGTTTCAGTAAAATAATTGTTTGGAAATGTTGCGATTATTTATTAATGTTTTTCGTAAATAGTATATTATTTTAATAAGAAAAATCCTGAAATTTTTTCAATAAAGAATTTACGAATTTGAGTACTTGATTTTACGAATTTCGTGATAGGTCCTATTTTAGTAAAAAAAATACTTGGCTTTATGAATTTTTTGTTTGATTTTGAATTCCATTTTTTTCTGTGAACAGTTCGGATACATTAACAGCGACGGAAAATTCAGGCACGGTTCATAGCGAAATTTCTTCCAGTGGAACCATAAAAAGTGTGGTAAACCCTGTTAATTGTTTTAAGAATCAAATACTCCTAGTCGAAGCTTCTAAATCGGAAACAACTTCAGAAACCGTATTTCCTAAACAAAGTAGACATTTGGTTCATTTTGTGGAAAAATCCGATTTAATTGTGGCATTGAAAAATGTTGTAAATCCGCAAGTAGTAAATTGTATTCATTCCGATCTTCACATCCTAGGGCAAATACAAAATGAAGTTGTTAAAATATTTCCTTCTGTTAAATTTGTTCATAGCAAGAAAATTGTGATTGATATCCACAATTCTAATGACCAACAGGAAATTGTTACTAGTGAACATAACAGGGCTCATAAAAATATTCGGGAAAACATGAATCAAATATTGAGCGAATATTATTTTCCTGGAATTCGTAGGAAATTAATGGAGATAACTTCAAAATGTCAAATTTGCAAAGAGACAAAATAGGTTAGACACCCGAGTAAGGTGGAAATAGGTAAATCTCCAATTCCGAATGATCACGGAGGGTTCTTGCATATTGATGTTTTCTCTACTGACGGAAGTCATTTTATCACCTGCGTCGTCAAATTCAGTAAATTTGCTCTTGCATTTCCTATTGACTCAAGATTATAGATGTCAAAACCCCATTACATAATATTTTGAATTTTTTCCCAAAGGCAAAGACAATTGTATGTGATAATGAAAAGTCTTTCACTTCAGAGACAATAAAATCTTTACTTGCTTATCATTTTGATGTTGAAATATTTCCAGTTCCACCTGCGCACAGTTCGAGTAATGGCCATGGAACGATTACTTGCCGAAATTGTTAGATGTCTCAAGGCGGAAGAGAGATACGATGATACGAAACAGTTAATTCTTGTTGCCGTTTTCAAATACAATAGTACATTACATTCCGTTACTGGACAACGTCCTATCGATATATTACATGGTATTTTTGAGGAACTAAGGTCCGATATAAAAGCGAAATTAGTATCAGCACAGGAAACCGATTTACTATATCACATCGCAAATAGGAAAACAAAAAGTTTTTTACCAGGTGACAAAGTTTTTGTTAAGAGAAATAGAAGGTTGGGGAATAAGTTCAGCAAACTTTATGTAGAAAAGACAATTCAAAAAGATTTTGGAAGTTACGTTATTATCGACAACCGACCTGTTCATAAGGACAATATACGATAAAAGTTTCACATGTATTGTAGAGTTACCTATATTTATATCCTAACAAAAATTTTGTATTCCTTTAATTTTTTAACAGAAAAATGAAAACGATCTTACATCCATTTTACTTAACTATTAAAGATTAATATCAAAACATTCATTTTATCAGTAATAAAATCGGAAATTTAAAACTTAATTGAACATTTATATAATTATATAATAAAAAATATAAATAAATTTGAAAATTAATGAAATGATAAAAAAATTTTAACAAAATTTAAAATAAAAAACAAGTTAGAGTGCTATATTCGGCTGAGCCGAATCTTAAATACCCTGCCCCAGCTACTTATATATTAATACTTTTCTAATTGATCAAATATTTGTAGAAATAAGTTTTCTCATGTCTTGAATAGAAAAAATACAAAGATTTAAACAGCTTAAATCTATTACAATTCCATGATTTATTGAACATTACAAACGCCATTTTCTTTACATTTTTATAGCTCTTAGCGATATTTAGTAATTTGCATGTATGTATGCATGTGTGTAAAAGATTTAAGGAATTTCAAAATAAATATATATAATTTTGTTCTACACAAATTGATAATGCAAATAGTTACATACGGT